AGTCCACGGTGACGAGAGAGATATCTGTATTATTATGTCGACGTCAAAAGGTATTACTCGTACAAAGATGTGTTTAGATAGGTTTAAGAAAATCTAAACAAAGATTAGAGCCGGCCCCAAAACTAAACCATTTAAAAATTACTCCACAGACCCGATCGGATCTCCCATTGTACCCGGTCGTGTGTCTCGTCAAAAAGCATACCCGGATCGAAACAGTGGCGGATATCCTAACACAAGCCAAAACCTTACACAGACCCGGTCAGGTAAACCTCCATACCCGATCGGGTTTCCAATCCAGTGAGTTGCCCAGCCAAAAACTTCATCATACCCGATCGGATGACTGACCATACCCGATCGAGTATCTCCTGCTGCTGCAAAAATAAGGCTCCACCTTCAACAATCAAAATTCCCAATACCCGCTTTTACATGTTGATTTACACCAATCACGGGTGTCAAAAACATTTAAAAACATCCAAATAGAGAGTATTTTTATTTTTCTAATATACGCATGAGAAAAAATAATTTCAAGACTATTCTATTAAAATTTATGAAATTCTGACTGAAGTGCCTGTATGGCAGATTCTGTTGATTTAAGAAAAAATTATTTTTAAAATATATTTTATCAATAAAATAAAGAAAAAATATATGTAAAAATAGCTAAAATGAGAAGAAAGATAACAATGTTAATCAGAAAGATAACAAAGACAAGCCGAAAAACAATGTTACCCAAATGCGTATCCCAAAAAGTTAGGTGTTTCGTGTACCTTATTTACCGAAAAACTTAGCTATCTTTAAAATTTGGAAAAATGGACAAATAAGTCCACATATACTCATCAAAAAAAATCAAATAAACTCTTATAATACAGAACTCCCCCTTCCCTTCATTTTTTGAAGAAGTTCCTTTTCCTATGCAAGTTCAGATAACTCCCCCTTCTCCTTTCACCCCTTTCTTCTTTATACTCCGAATTCCAACCCACGGATCATCGGTCAGTCCTTCACCCCACAGCCTGAAAGAAACCCACCGTCCCCTGGCCACCAGTCAATGGCTTGCAAGCAAAGAATGCTCATTTGAGACCTCCACGTCAGTTATTTCCAAATCCACCGCAGCTTCAATCCGGCACCCACCAAAATCGACGACAAAAAAGTAGGGAGCAGGACTTCAGGAATGAAGGCAGATGAAGGTGAGAAGGGAGAAGTTATTCCTGATGGTTTTGCTCAGGTAACGAATGTATTTCATTGAAAATCCAAACTCATAATTTGAACTTCGAAATTTGTTATGTGTCCGGTTGGGGATAACGATAAGGGGTCAGAAATCCCAGAATAGGAGGAGATAGAAGGTTTCTCGGATATCTAATTGACACCATGTTGCTTGACACATATATGTTGCAGCCTGCAATCATGTAGTGTGAATATCATGACGGGTGGATGAAGAATATCAGAATTTTTGTTTTGATTCTCCCACTACCGCACTAACCCACACTACTTACTGCAGACATTATTATTAATAATAATAATAATAACAATCATAATAATCATAATAATAATAATCCCTTGTAACTTTGACAAATCTGACAAACACAAAGTATATCTTACCTTAAGATGACAAAGTAAAATAAATGTGAGCCACACAAATTGTACAAAATGAGAAAGTGGGAAATATATTTGGGAACAACCCAAAAAGGAAAGTGAAAAGTATTTTTGGGAATAAAGGAAGTAATACATAATTTTTACTGCTTCAAAATTTTAAATAAAAACCTGTGAAATGATTACAATTTCTAACTTTCAAGTCCTATATGGAAAACTTCTCTGCCAAGACGTTGAATTAAATAAATGCTCACCGTAAAATAAACCCTATTACTGAAGTTAAAAGGTTAATTGTTAATGGTTTAGTTATGTCTGACAATGAAAAATATGGAACCAAGTAGTTCAACCGAATATGGAACCGCGTAAATTATGATAAATATATCCAGAATATTGTGTCATTATTTAACCGAATAAAGCATGGATCTTCAACCGGATAATAAGTTTAGGCTACATGCGGCAGTTAGTTCCGCCATTGACTGACGGCTGCTGCTGACTCCATAGGGAACCAAAGCATATAAAATTAAAAGATTATGAAGAAGCAAGTAGATGAGTGCAGAAATGTAGAAAAGGAATGAATGTGCAGAGATATCTACTGACTTTCTAACAAGACCACATCGACGCTGATCTTTAAATTCTTATTATTACAGCTGCAACTTAGAGCATTGCAAAACACAAACGACTAAAATGTATGCATTGCATTGAATAAGAACGTCCTTCCAATTGTTGTGGAACCCGTGATGGTAAATTTGATCAAAATAACGAAAGACAGGTTAACCATTGCATATGAATTGCGCCGAATACCTGAATCAAAAGCAAATACTATAGATAGAGACTTAGTCGTGCCGAACTACATGTAGAACATTACAAATCTCAGTAGAGAAAAAAGATTAAAAAGAGATATTAAGGATCAGAGTATCTGGCTTGGGATTTTTCAGTAGAGAAAATCACAATTAGCGCACATTAATTTCACCTTCGATCATATGGGGAAATAATCATCACGTCCAATACGTTGAGAAGGTAAAACAACACACAACTGAAGACATGAATAACTTCATTGGAATCTCTCCGGTAGTGAAACCAATTAACCAAAGAATGCGGTCAATTTCACATTCATCTACTGGGGGGAAAATCAACACTTATTAAAACAACGCATGTGATTATTTTAAATAACAGAAACCGGACGGATCAGAATATCTGGCTTGGAATTCTCCTTGAGAGAAAACACAAAGTGCGCTCAGTTATTTCAACTTCGATCAACTGGGGAAAAACTCATCACACCCGTCCCAATCAAAATTGTAATTTGAACACAGAAATGAAGAATAGGATGTTGTAAACAAAGCTAATATTTCCAGATCTGGTTCCACTGTGGAGAACAAGAACAACAAGTAGTAATTTAACAGAACCGGATGTAAGTATGTTGCGTCATCTCATACTCAACGGCCAAAATCAGTTGATGCCGTCGGTAATCAGTAATAGACGCGTGTTAACACTAAGACGAATCAATGAAAAAAAACACTCCGTATTGTAGAGGAAGAGACAGATTAATGCAATTGCAAGAGATATGCTAGTCGAACGACCGTGATCGTAATATATAGTACACGAGCAGGTACGTTAGGGTTTCGACCTTTAAAGCCCTAGTTCCCATTTCGGGCTTTTAGACCGTCCGCATATATCGCGTCGGTAAAAACTTAAATGGACTCCACCGGGAGGTAAGTCATTTCGAATTTGGGTTAAAATGTATAGGTTCTTTGTAAGTATCAAAACTAGAGTCTCACTCTTTATCTGTCAGTCTGTGATTACAGTTCAATTTACATCTTGTTATCTAACTATCAGGTCAGTGTTGAGGGTCCTCAAGGATGAGTGTCATCCTTTTTTAAAAAGTGGACTCCATCACACAAGTGTTCGGACACCATCAATACAATATATTTCTTCCGTTTTAAATTGATTTATAAAATCACGTTTTTTTGTCAACCAATGTTAAAGTCAAATTCTTTTAGCTCCATCGGCACCGACTTCGACATTGATGCTGCCTTCATCAACCGCTCTCACCTGCCCATCTCTTCTTATACTCTTTTTGTTTGAATGCGGTGCGGCGATGTGGCTAGGCCTTCGAGGCAGTGGTGCTTTGAACAAACCACAAATGAATAGGGCGGCAATTGGGGCTTTGATGATGTGACGGTTTCATCTTGCTGCTCTACCTCACCGGTTCAGATGTGTGGGAGCTGAGGACGGAGTGTAGATATGGTATTGCGGTTGTAAAGGGGCTAGATCGGGGCTGTTTGTTTCCGGTTTGGGCTAGATCTGGGGTGGGGAGATGGCGAGCGTGCTGGGGGCTGGGGAGGGGGTTGAATATGGGGAGGTGGCAGGGGATGAGAGGGAGGTAGGGAGGTGGCTAGGGGCTAGGGAGGGGGTGGGGATGTGATTGGAGACTCGAGAGTCAAGCCGGGTGGGGCAATGGTCAGCGGTGGCGGTCCGCTATGATGGTCAGCGGCGGCGCTACGGGGGGGTAGGCTGGGGATGGACTCAGGGGGCTGTGAGAAGTAGGGGAGGTATGGAGTTGGGGTTATCGGAATGTGTGTCCCTCGACTACTGTGTGAGTGACACTTTTGGTACCTGACCTTCAATTTTTTCATTTTTAGTCCTCGATTATTGCGTGAAAGACACTTTTAGTCCTCGACTTCAATGATATCCATAATTAGTCTCCTGAGTGCTATCAAATTGAAACTCGAATGACTAAATATGGAAATTATCAAACACGAGTACTAAAAGTGTCTTTCGCACAATTGTTAAAGGACTATACTAAGTATAATCAACGTTTTAATTTCCAAGACCCTCAAAATAGGGTGATATCATAATATAAATAATAATTTATATTCCCCACTTATTATCTTCATAATAAGTAAATTTATTTATTTGTCGGCACACGGCCTTTCTTATATATCCTTTTTCATTTATCGTTTGCACAACCCAACCCTTGGGTCCTATTATTTCTACGGGACTTGCTACCGCTGTCCGAGACCTCATGAGGCTCCCGGTTCGGACTCCAACATCCCGCCCCTGGACTCGTACCCATCATCCCGTAGGAAGGTAAGGCCCTTCGGGGTCCTATCTTATGTGTTACCGCTACCGGAACCTAGTTAGGTCTCCGATTCGGATTCCACCCTAACCCGTGATCACGATGTAAGTCCATGCTATCCAACCCCGCTCTCTAGAGTCGGGAAGGGCCATGGTCCTTACTATTTCCATAATTCAACCGGCTATCCACAAGAATCACCGATCACACCCGTAGGCCAATCCTATACTTAGGATCAATTTAATATTCACACTATCTTGGGTATCCCTTAAGGCCTACCCCTAGTATAACTTAAAGTTCATACTTTCCTACCTTAAAGCATCTCTTAAGACTACTTAAGGCATAATATTTCACAATCCAACCTTAGGATCAATCTTAACAACATTTCATTTTAATGTCCAACTAGCATCTTAATAGTAGTCAAATTAACATCAACAAACCAAGTTCTCAACTCATAGTCATATAGACAATTCCAACTGATTTTCCTTTGAAAATTATCATTTATGTCAATATCCAAAATATCACTTTTAATCACTCATATATTCTAATATGAAGAAAAAGTATATTTCAACACATGTTTCATAACAAGTTCCACTTTCAAGTCAACATACTCATAACACATGAACATACACAATTTATTCCTAAATTTGTATATCATGCTTTTTTCTCTAGACATTTAATCTTTTCATTTTTAGGCATTATTAATCGTTAATAATCCATAAAAACACATTTAATTACCTTCGGTAATCTCATGAAATTAACTCACTAATTATAAGCAATATAGTCAGCCATCCTCACCTTATGAAGTGCTGAAATAGTTGCCTTTGCTAAGCCCCTCGATCAATCCCCGTTCTAGGCCGATTGAAGGTGTAAAACTGAGCTGCTGGGCAAAAGCCGGGCGGCTTTCACGAAAGCCGGGCGGCTTTCGTAGTCTGCAGAAACGGGCAGCTCCCTTAAAGTGGCGGTTTTCGGCGATTTCGACTCCTATCGATTCACCAACTCTTCTAAGTTAAATATCACAACTTTATATCAATATTCTACACTTTTAAACGTGTAGAACATCATGTTTAATCCACCATATGATTTCTTAAAAATCATACACCATAAAACTAGTTAAAAGAACCATATGTGTTCTTACCTCAAGGCTTAGCCTTTTTCCTCTATGGATTCTTCCCTCTTCTTGGCTCCTCAAGCTCCAGAATGTTGAGAGCTCTTCCCTGGACCTTATCTCTCTATTCTATCCTCCTTATGGTGTAGAATGAGGGAGGAGTCCATCAAGTCTCCACACCTTATGAGGATGGTGCATGAATGAGACAAGGAGGGGTGTGGTTTGTCCCCCCAGCTACCCTCTCCTTCATAAGTCCGCCCAAGCCATGTTAGGATGTCCCATTCCCATTACTCTGGTCATTCAGCACCCTTAAAAACGTGGGGTGGCCCCCACTTATGTGGGAGGTCATCCCATTATGTCCCGGTATGTATAATCGGCCCCGAAAGTTGTATTTTTCGGACTACTTTAGTCGTATTTTATTTTATCGAGCCGGGAAAAATATATCACGTGTTCCTAATAATTATGGGCCTTTAGAATAGGTGTACATTCCCCAACATTAATTTAGGAGTCTCCGAAACTCATTTCGGGCCGTTATCCGTTAAATTACCAATACCGGTAATTGGGCCCCGTTTGACCCACCGGTCAACCCCATGCCTTTCTTATGGCCCAATTAAAATATCCACCACCATATACATATTATCTAGGCCAAGATGAATATAATATGTGGTTCGGGAATTATCGGGCGGTCCCCGTTCCCGCTGTGGGCCCCACATGCAATTTACTATTCACGTAAAAGAAATAATAAAAATTTACAATTACGCAAATTCATAAATCATCTTTCAAGGTTTATTACATAATTTACTAAAAGTAAATATGCTCGGGGTCGGTGTTACAAGGGTAGTCATACAGGAAAAGATAGTGGTGGCGGCTTTGAAATATCAACCTCTATTAGCACTCTAGCAAAGTCATTGTTAATCCTCTCTTGAGTGATCTTGTGCGTAGTTATTGAGACCCCGACCATAGAAGCTACCTCACTCATAGCCTCATCATTCCATAACATCATTCGTAAATTAGGGAACTTAATCCAAATTGGTACATTTAGAAATTCCTCATCCTCAAATGAGAAATCTTCTCAGAGTTCTTTGAGCATTAGAAGTTTCCCATACATAGTGTAAAGTCCCTCAGGTAGTACCTTCAATCTATCTTCTTCACTTTGAAATTTAAAAATTATCCAACCTTTGTTGTGGGACCTCACAAGGCATTTGACACCCCATGTAGCTTTCATATCATGGATTTCTTTTAGTTTAGGGGATTTTCCCGTGAAGTGTCCAACTAGACAGTATCCCCACATTTCAACCATGAGCTAGTCTAGCACGAATTATGCTCACGAGCGGATGTCTCTGGGCCGTCCTTGGGCATTATCCGTTGAGCGCGGGCTAAAACCATTCTCATAAGGAGGAGGTTTAGCGGTCAGTAAGAAAGTCCTCATTCATGTTTCATGGCCTCACGAACTTCTTACTGGGGCAGCAAGAAAACTCCTGCGCGAACACCTTTTTGAAGTCCGATCGGGGCTAGTCTGCGGATTGCAAATTAGCATTCACAGCGCATACGCGACAAGTCACAGATGGGGAACCACCCTGACGAGCGTGGGATATGGCAAGTGAAGGTGAAGACGACATGAATGACCATCTATTCGGGTTCACTTCTTCTCCCCGCCCTGCTGGGTTGGGTGGCCAGGTTAGCACCCCTCCAGGTTGGTTGGTGAGCCTAGTGATAGGAGACTATCTAGCTTGGTTCGGAGAGCAAGTGAATCTTCTCCGGCGAAAACGGAGAGGAGGGCGGTCAAGGTAGAATAGTGGGTGGGTAGGGAGGGCATGCCCCTGAGACTAGTGCTACTCCCTGCTTTCGATCCAGTGTGAGTTGCAAAGCCAGAGCCTATTGTAGTTGCAGTCTGAAGGTAGTACTCGATCACCAAGATCCAATGTTTCACCTTTAGGAGGGACATATTTCAGTTTAATGCCATGTCTTGGGTCGCGGTTATCCTTAAACAAAGAGCTCCATGGTTTGGGGGCTGCCACATGTTGTTTCTCAGTACTTGGTATCTCAGTCCCCTGCTTCCCAGAAGACTTTAGCAATGAATCAGTCACCTGCTTAATCCCACCTTTCCCTGGTCTTCTCATGATAATCTCACCTTTACGTAATTCTAGAATAATCTCACCTTTGCACCTCATCTTCTTTCATTGGACCCTGACCTGTTGATGACCTACTATATCAGGTTTTCTACTCTTTCTTTGAAAACCTTATATAAATAATCTCACCTTTCACAAATCTGCTCAAAACGATCCCATGTTTCATTTTTTCTTTTTCTCCCTAAAATTTTTCTTTCCTTATTTTCATCACTAGACACTTTTCATTCCTTTTTCGATCTTTTTTCTATCCTTTTGTTCTTATTTCTTTTCCAATTTTATTATTCTATTTATTACTCTATTAGGATATTTTATTTTGTAAAATTTCTATTCGAAATAGTTCTTTTTTGTCGTTTTCTTTTTCTTTCCGTATTTTATTTCATTTCCCTCTTTATGTTTTCCTTCTTAATCATTCTCTTCTTATTAAAGATCTTTTTCTCACTTTACTTTTTATTATGTTTTTTTTCACTTTTCCACTTTTATATTTTCACTTTTAAAATAAGATCTTTAATAAGAAGAGAATAGTTAAGAAGAATAACATAAAAGGGAAATGAAATAAAAATACAAAAAGAAAAAGAAAATGACAAAAAAGAACTATTTTGAAGAGAAATTTTACACACAAAAAAAGAGCAATAGAATAATAAAAGTTAAAACGAAATAAGAACAAAATGATAGAAAAAGTAATAAAAATGGTCTAGGGGTGAAAATATAGTATTGGGTAAGAAAGAAAATTTTTAGGGAGAAAAAAGAAAAAATGAAACATGGGACCGTTTTGAGCAGATTTGTGAAATGTGAGATTATTTATATAAGTTTTTCAAAGAAAAGGTAAAAAAACTAGTATAGCAGGTCATCAACAGGTCAGGACCCAATAAAAGAAGATGTGGTGCAAAAGTGGGATTATTCTGAGATTACGTAAAAGTGGGATTATTATGAGAAAACCAGTGAAAGGTAGGATTATTCTTGTCAATTTTTCCAAAAGAAAATACAGAAAGAAAAGTTAAGAAAACAAAAAGCAATAAGGAAAAACGAAATAGATAAAAAGACACGAAAGCAAAAGGAAAAAGTTCAGAGAACAGATCTGGCAACTTCACCCTACACAAAAAACAAACAAACCTGGAGACCAGCTGGAGTGCAACGCGAAGGAAAAAAAGACACTGCAGAAAAGAAGGAGAAGAAGGAAGGAAGAGAAGGATAAGACTTACCAGGGATTTCAGCCTCTGCGTTGCCGCCGTGTCACTGTGCAAGTGTGCAACCACCACCGCCTCACAAGGTCACCAACTTACTGTGCCATCGCTGCCATGTCTGCGTTGCTTAATCTCCGGCTGTGCCACATCGCTCATCTTTTTCATGATTAAAAGGCAGTGTGGCTCATTGGAGTGTCGATAGACAACGTGAAATACTAATTACATTCTTAAATAAATGAAACACTTTGACTTTTACACTATTCACATGTTCTACTTTGACTACGTTTTATTTATTAATGTAATAATATTATTTTATGAAAAAATTATTGTTAAACTTGTCTCATTGTAAATTTTCATAATCTATTTTGTAATTTTTTACTAATACAAAATCATTTATATTAATGATCAAAGTTGTGTCTGAAATGTTGGTCGTTGCATTTATTTAAGAACGGAGGAAGTATAACGTAGCAGTGTCCTCTAGTTAGGTCTGTCCAATGAACCTTTTCACTAACATGCATCTATGTTATTAACTTGATATCTCTATACTCGTAACTAGTGGAATATTATATCAATGTCCCAAATTATCAATGTCTCAAAATTCCACTTTTTGTCCCATGACTATTATACCACTTCCACATTTAGTTCCTTACTTTCAGATTATCCACATTTAGTCCGTGACCATTATCCCCTCACCACCCATCGTCCTTCTGCCAAAATTCCGGCAAATATAGCCCACTTATCAGCATCAGAATCAGTCTTTGCATTAAATTTTACACAAGGTTGGGTTTTTCATATCATTCTTTGCATTAAATTTGGTTTTTCATGCCTAAAATCTCCATTAAATTTGTTGGAATTTTGGCCGGAAGGACGAGGGGTGGTGAGGAGATAATGGTTACGGACTAAATGTGGACAATCTGAAAGTAAGGGACTAAATGTGGAAGTAGTATAATAGTCACGGGACCAAAAGTGGAATTTTTTCATTAGAATATTATGCTTATTAGAAAGTGTAGCATTCAACAATTAAGTCACGTACTTAATTAGCTGCTTTAAACAAAATATTCAGGGACTAAATATTAATAAAGAAAACTCACAATAATAATTAACGTAAAATGAGTTTGTGACTTTATTAATTAATGAACATTAAATAAATCATAAACTATGATTGTCGTAGGGCATATTTTCAACATTGGTAACATTGAAATAGGTTGAATCAACCGATTCTCCTAAAATATGAAAAATTCTAGGGAAGTGGCTGGATTGGATGATTGTATTGAATTATGAAAAAATTATATTTAGAATATATTTTACTAATATAATAAAAAAAATCATATGAAAAAAATAAGTAAAATGGTCCTCAATCAACAATTCGATCAACATGTGAAATCAAAAATTATTTATTTGATGAAAAAGTTGGCTGAAAACCAAAATTCACCAAACGGGTTGTAAAAGTTATAAAAGATTGAAATGACAACATAATTTTAAGAGATGAAAGTTAATACATTCATAAAAAAATTGCTAAGAATAGAACTAAAATAGACAAAATTCTAAAATAGGATTAAATATGTTTTCTTTCTAAAAGAAGACTTATTTAGTACTATTAAAAGAATAAAAACTTTTGTAATTATGAGTGAATAAGTCTTATTTTAGGGAAAAAATAAGGGAAAACTATCAAATAGGTCCACATACTTATACGAAAAAGTCAATTGAATCCATGTACATTTTTTTGAGTCAATCAAGTCCGTTAACTATCAAAAAATGACCAAATCAGTTATTCAATAGGTTACTAACCGGTTACCCGGTTAACAATCGATGTGGATGTATTACGTGGCGATTTTTTTACTGTGTTCGGATTTTTTTCTTCTTTTCTTTTATTTTCTCTTTCTTTCCTTTTTCTCTTCCCTTTTTTTTTTCTCTTCCTTCTTCCTGGTCCGCACCTTCCCCACCCGGTTGTCTCCGTTGCTTTCTTTCTTGGCTCTCACCGGGAACAACTCCGACGCTTCCACCTCTCTAGCCACCACCTCCGCTTTTAAGCCTCCATAGCCACCGCCTCCAGATCCCGACCTACACCTTCACCTCAACCGCCCGTCCCGCCATACACCCCTCCGGCCACCACCTATGTGGCCTTCCCCTTCGCCTCCTTCATTGAAGCAACCTCGAGCCGCGCCGGATTCCATAGCCATCTCCCTTACCACCGTACTCACAGCCTTCGGCTTCCACCTCCACAGTCTCCAACGCTGCAGCCTCCACGGAACGACCTCCAACCACCGGTCTCCAGCTCCGCCTCTTCCATGGAACGACCTCGAACTACCCGGTCTCCATAGCCTCCACTGCCATCCCATAGATCTGTAGTTGTAGGTGCAGGGAGGGAAGAAGAAGAAAAAAGAAAAAGAAAACAAAATAGAAAATATTAAAAAAATGCGAGATGGAAGTCCATGTAGGTTGTTAACCGGATAAGTGGTTGGTAACCTATTAAATAACTGATTTGGTAGTTTTTTGATAGTTAACGGACTTGATTGACTCAGAAAAATGTGCATGAACTCAATTGACTTTTTCATATAAGTAGGTGGACCTATTTGAGAGTTTTCTCAAAAAATAATGATACTTTTATTTGAGATTTTATCATATATTTTAATATATTTAGAGAATATTCTCTTATTCAAATACAAAGTAAGTTTTCATGACAGATAGGTTGACTCTTTTGGAGCTTTTGCATTTGAAAACGTTGTGAAGTATTTAACGGGGGCACTTTTTTTTTGGGGGGGGGGGGGGGGGGGGGGGGCACAAGTGATTAATAACTGACCAAAAGCAAAAAATAACTAAAAAGCTAAATGTTTATGGGGGCAACTGTCCCCATTCTTAATAGGGTGCACCCGCCCCTGATTTGAGGTCGGTTAACATGAAGCATCATGTATAATTGGAGTTGAAAAAGATTAAAAGTATCAAAAAAAGAGATAAAAAATAAAATAAAACAAAATAGATAAAAAGATACGATACAATAAAATGATAAAAAGATAAGATAGTGATAGAATAAAAAAAGATAAAGAATATATTAAAGATAAATAAGAATTAATGATAGAAAAGATGAAATGAGATCAGTCTTTCACTAGTCTTTCACTAGAATATGTTGTCTTTGCTTCATTCTCTCTAAATCGTGTTACATATATTTCCTTTTACGTAAAACTTTATTTTTATTGTATAATTCCAAATTTTCATTGAAAATTACAAGTTCATTTTTTTATTTCAAATTTGAAAAAAATTAATCACACCCGTGAAATTTCACCAACCGTGCATTGCAAGGGTTTTCAACACATATCCTCTAACGTGAGACCCATTCAACAATACATGTGTTGTGCAGTTACGCACATATTTTTAGGAAAAAAATCATCAGCCGTGCATCGCACGAGTGTTCTACTAGCAAGAATAAAAGATAAAAAAGATGAAACGAGATCAGTCTTTCACTAGAATATGTTGTCTTTGCTTCATTCTCTAACTCATACTTTTATCAAATCCAAGAAGTAGTGTATCACCCTGACTCCTTTATTACAATTTATACACGTCTATTTGGGCCTTACTCTCCCTTTCTTCTCCGCCTCTTCTCCCCACCTTTCAACTTATTTATGAGGTGCATCCTTTTCTATATCCACGGCCAAACCACCTAAATCGAGGCACCCGCATGTTATCTGATGGTCTAATTTCTCAAGCGACTTTTTTTAGTATAACCAGCGATGGATTCGGGATTTGTGTCCAAGGGAGGTGAATTTTTTTCGTTAGTGTAAGACCCTAACTATTTTTTATACAAAAAACATTTTCATTAGCATGTACACAACATTTAAATATAAAATTTATACAATGAGAAAATTAACTTAGATTTTATCATTGAAGTGATCTAGATTTTCTTTTGGTAAATTAAAGCCTAAGTAATGCCAAATCAAAAGAAAATTATGATTATAACAAAATGGTTGAAACTTTATCAATTTATTTGAGGATAAAGTGTCTAAAAAGTACGCATACACCGAGCAGATCCCAGGTAATTAAAGCTAAATTGGTGCGTTTTTAGGCAGAATGGGAAAACAGTTGCAGGCTTTCTGCTCCGTGACCACGCTGGCAAGATGATTGTGGCTGATGGTTTTTCTTTGAGCGGATCGACGACTAGAGAGGTGTTTCATCAGGCGATGGAATGGTCTGAATCAAAGGGGTTTCCTAATTACGTGGCTGAGGTTTCCCCTTTGAAACTTCTGGAGTTGGGCGTTTGCTCTTTGGGCCGGAAATGGGTGGGCCTTGATTTTATTCCATCTCAGGCAAACAAAGTAGCAGAGATTGTAGCGGGCTTGGGCCTTCAGCGGGCCTTCTCTTGGAGGAGGGGAGACTTTATCCCAAAAAGGCTAAGGGGAGCTCTTAAGTTAGATGAGGAGTCAATACCCTATATTTACTAATTGTTGTAGGCTTTCAGTTGTTTTTAAAATGGAATGCCCTTTTGGAGGTTTTGGCTTGACCCACCTCTCACGTTGTACCGATTAATTTTTTGCTATAATATTTGGCAAATGTTCATCGAAGTTTGCTCCACTGATTTTGGTGGTTTACCTATCGGGTTTAAAAAAACAAAAAAAAAAGTAAGTACACATACACCTATATTTTTTAAATGACTTTTGCATTGTTTCAGTGCATGAATCTTATTACAATAAAAAATCTAATTTTTGAATTACACTTATTTTTTCATCATGGATGCTTACAAGTGACGAGGAGTCTTTTTAATATTATAATAGTATCTAAAAATTATTGATTTTAAGATTAATATTTTGTTGTTAATTAATAAAGTTTGTACCTTATGTATTTTTATTAATGCTAAGATATTTTAAGTTTATTATTTATGTAATTAATTCTTTTAAAATAAATTCAGAAGTCAATGAATTTGTATAATTTTAATGTTACAGACATTTATATCTCAAATTCACTTCACAATATCTGATAATTGTTTAATTAGTGTTTATAGTATTTTAATATTACTTGATATTTTTCAATGTCGGGTACATTTATCTATTAAAGATAAATTAAACATTATAAAAATCAGATTTTTCTCTAGAATAATAAGTATCATAAGTCTTAGACCAATGATTTTTATATTATTTATTTGTCAAAGGTAAGAAACTAATAACAATATTGATGATCAGAAAGAAAAAAACTAAACTTAACTAAAATAGTTCATCAATATAAACTGCTTCGGATTTTTCTTCTTTTACACCTCCTATGGAGTACTACCTCCGTAATCCTAGAATCTTCCCAGTTTGACTCTTTTGGGTCAAACTTTATAAACTTTGACCATTAATTATTCAAAACTCACATTATGTTATGATTAAAAATTTATTTCATATACCTCATTGTAAAACATATTATTTGAATGTTAATTTATTATGAATATTATAAATATAGATATGTAGATATTTATAGTCAAAGTTCAACTTAGAAGACCGTGAAAAGTTAAAATGGGAATTGAAGATCTCTGTGTTACGAAGGTAGTATTATATATTGTGTAACACTATAATTAATTTTGGAAACCAAAAGTCAAGTGAGATGAACACGAAATTATCTATTTAAAATATAAAAAATTATGAAAATATTACATATACAATAAAAAATGAAACTTTAAGGGGAGCCCCCCATATCGATCTATGGGTTCAACTTGTCTCTTAGAAGAAAAACAAGATTCTTTTCTAATACTGCTATTATTTACTTCCTCCGTCCCTCCCTCTAAATTGACCGACACAGGAAATGATATAGTAAAAACTGTGTGGTTGAGATTTGTGCACATGAAAAAGAAATAATAAGAACCTCAAATTCATTGATTAAAAGAGAAAATAGTACTCCCTCCGTCCCAAAAACAACTTCTCAGTTTGACTAGCACACACATTTAGGTAGATTAAAATTTTGGTTTGATTTTCCCAAAATTTTACTGTTTTGACACTGTTTGGACACTGTTTGACACTGTTTTGATGTTGATAATTTGCCAAATAAGGAAGTGGTAAGAAGTGTGAAGTTAATTTTGGGACATCCATTTAAGGAAAGTGGGAAGTTGTTTTTGGGACGGAGGGACTAAAATTTTTGGATCAACTAAAAAGGGAGAATATAATATTAGAATGAAGACCATTCCTTTTGGTACAAATTAAAGGGAATAATAATATACACACTGCACACAGTACTAAAATGAAGACGAGTCATGTGAATGTGTGTGTAAACTTAGCTTGCAGTGAGATGTAATCCTAACATACGGAGTATCAATCTTGGGTGAGATCTGAAGATCTATCAATGTTAAATCTCTCGCACACTAGCATCTGGTTCTTACTCCACCATCTTTCTGCTTCTTTCTCGGTGAACTTTCTCCTACTACAGAAGTGGCATGTAACCAAAGTGAGTTAATTAATATATATATATATATAGGCCGCGCCGGCCACATGAATGAATAGTTCAAAATTTACCTGAACCGGACCCGCTTGAGATTCTTCCGTCCACTGGGCAACGTTTTCAGTGTTATGTAGACACCGGGTTCATACTGCTCCACCCATTCTTGTACTGGATCTTCCTCAACCGGCGGGGCTGATCCCTCTTCTTCTGACCTCTTCTTACATAATAATCTTGCTGTACTTGAGAATAAAACTGGTGAAGTACATAGGCTGCTGCTATTCACTTTACATACGCTATCTTCTCTAGGAGCACATATAGCAAGAACAGTAGTAGATGGCTCATTATTTACATCTGTTGCTATATTTCCTGTACTTGAGGAAGTTATCTGAAGCAAATATGTACCCGCTGCTTGATCCTTAATTCTTATACCGCCACAAACATCTTGTGACATAGTCTGGAGCTGCAACATACATAACCACAGTTAATTAATTAAGGTTCATATGTTTGCGCAGAGATTATGGCTATGTTTGGTTCTGTCAACAAAAACTTCCCAAAATAATTTGGGACCCAGGTAGTATTTATCTATGAGCGTGTTTGGTTCTACTTCTTAAAACTGTTTCTGTTTATTCATGGAGCATAAGTAGATATAAGAGTTTTTGACTGAAAGTGCGAATTTACTTCTAAGTGCTCCAAATTGCTCTTAGAAGCGGTCGTTTAGAAGATGGGGAAGACTCTCCTCCGAAAAATTCTGATTCTACTTATGTTTTTAAAAAGAAGAAGAAGCTGAATCAATTCCAAACATTCCTATATTTTTTAATCGTTTTTATCCTAACTTATCTATTTACCTTTCTTATTTTTTTCTTTTTCTTCTTTTGACTGCGGTATCATGTACCGATCCATGTTAGCCGATTCCAAAATCTTGTGAGACTGATGCATGAATGTTCTTGTTGTAAGTTCTAACCTTTCCACTTTTTTTCTCACAATAAATTTTCCTTGGCATTTTTTAGGTTCCAAAATAACCCTCTATACTTCAAAGTGAACTTTAAAGTGTGTTTGGGTCTCCTAAAATTATAGGAATGGAATGGCATTACAAAGGAATGTTATTTTCTTGTGTCTGCTTTTACTATGGTGAGACTTCTTAGTCTTTCTATCATAGAATTAGAAATGAATGCACAAAAGCGAGTTGCGAACAAATATCTAATATCGGTTCATTGACTCACGACCCACTTTTTCAATGGCACAAAACTTCTTCATTTTTTTTTCTTTCTATCATTTCCAGGTTTCAAAAGGACCTAAGAAAAGGGATCATAATTTCAAAACAAAGTTACCCTTGATGTCAGAGATTTAATATCTTCCATTGCTGCTTTGTAGTTGGTCGATTCCTCAATTGCCAAAGACCAAATATCCTTGAGTTTCTGTTGACGTTCTTGGATTCTCTCTTTTCTTGATTGACATAGTTTTTTAAGGCTATGAACCTGTAAGTATCCATCATTACATAAAGCTCAGCAATAATAGATAATCTCGAAGTCTATAAATTCATTTACACTCTTTTTTACTCATTTTTATTTAAAGGATAAACTAATTAATAAACATTTATGTCTATTGTCTTTTTCCGTAATACTTTTTCTCCTTTCACTTTCATACCCGGCCTACAACTCTAGGAGAGCTAACGTACTCATTCTACCTTAAGAAGCAAAGTACTGCGCTAATGCAGTCTTTATGCGTGATTAATCATACGGAATATAATTGGAGTCGTGCAATCTCAGAAGTAAAAGTACTATTGCAAGATTGTAAAAGTGATGCTCGTATTTTGGTGTGTTTTTAATTGCAAATCATCAGCTTGTAACTTTTATAAGACACGGTTCAAACACATGTTTTTATAAACAATCTCTATTTTAGTCATATATATGTAATTTTGAAAAGTGATTCTTAAGTCATTCCAAAATGGATGTTCAGTTTGCTAGACTATGGGGATGTTTGGATTTGATTCTTAAAACTGCTTCTGCTCCTTCAGGAAGCAGAAACAGAAGTTGGAGTGTTTGGGTAAAAGTGCAGAAGTGATTCTGGTGCTCTAATTTACTCCTAGAATCAGTTTTTTAGAAGTTGGAGGTGACCAGCTTCTGAAAACTGATTCTGATTCTGCTTCTGCTTTAAAAAAGAAGCAGAATCAGAATCAGTTCCAAACACCCCTATGATTGTTCAATTCTACACAAACTCATACACTTGTGGCGTGTGTGTCTATACATATATATACATATGATATTGGATCAAATAAGAAAGTCTTAATGTGAAAAATGATAATCATTTTCCTAAATTTTGTTAGAGATCTAATGACTCTAAAAGTATCAACAATGCAAATAAGTGAACATTATAGTCATTGTAAAAAAGTGCACTATTTTAACTTAAAAGTCCACTGAAACGAAGTAAAAGTGAAAGTTCTGTACTTTTTAGGTTAATCTCTCTTTTTATTTTAACCGCGTCGTAGACACAAACACACACACATAGGGTGAGGTTCAAATAAGAAGTCTTTAGGTAAGAAATGAGAATAAATCTCAGCCGTTAGGTTCAATTATGTTACAGTAAAAAGAACTTAATGTTGCACCGAAATATGCAACCAAGCAAGGTGGCATTTTCATAAATACTTCTAAAAAATTTGTATTCCATTGCTCTAGTTCAACCTGAAGCTGCTTTGGTGCATCGTCGTCAAATTTTAGTGCAACATGTAACAATTGAATCTTATTACAACATGAAGTTGTTTTTAGTGCAACATCGTAAATCTTACGGTTGAGATTCATTTCTCATTTCTCACATTAGATGTATTTCTCACTTGAACACATACACACATGGCGGATTACGTGCAAACAATGATTATTGTGCAAATATTTATACAGTGCATCTTTACACTATTTGTATTGCATATTAATGTTCAAAGTGTTGCATATTATTCTGCAATTAAATAAGCAAGTTCATATTAACGTTCAAAGTGCTACATCCGATTTTTTCTGTTTTATCCCCAAAATGCCACTGTGCGACTACAACCTTTAGATCAACTCATTGGGCGACAAACTGAGTTTGTAGTTTGTAAATTAGGAGGTGTTTGTATTTGATCCATTATCTATATAACATACATACCCTGTGTCCAAAACATAACGTCTCATTTTCCTTATTTGGATTTCCTAAAATAAACTTCTCATTTTCGTAAAAAGATTTTTTTCAATAGTGAATGTCACACTACCCCTACTTATTACTTGATTTGAGAAATATGGATATAATTAGAAATTCAAAGCAACACTTTATCTTGCCTAATATGTTCGTAGGTTAAATTAGGAAGTTGTTTTTGTTATGGTCGACACATGTACAGTACTAATAATCATATATTCATTATACCTCAAGAATAGGGAACAAGTGATTGATTACCTGAGCTCTTAGCTTCTGAACCTCTTCAAGAAGCAACTTATCTGATTTGGAGACTCCTTGCTTCACTGGAGCAGAATAAGGCACAAGCTTTCTCTCCATTGGGTCTACCAATTGTGAAATGGAACCAAATGTGCCCTGTTGTGGTGGGGTTTGAAATTCTTTTTGTGCTTTTAAACCTCGATTAAAACTTTCGGGACAAGGAACCAGTCCCCATCTTGGCAAGCTGTCCAGAAAAGATGTCATACCCTTAATCTCAGTTTGGCCATTCAATGCCTTCCCGACATAGGAATATCCACCCATGTTAGAACATTTTCTTCTGGTTCCGACCCTGGTAGGGCATTTTTCTTGTTCCCTCTCCTCCTTCTCCATGTACCCCCCTTTTGTATGAAAATATGGTCTTGGGGTATACGTTTCGATTCTTTGAAGTTGGTTGAAACACGGATTGCATACCCGGAAAGGTTTGTTTTTATTCGGCGCTAGAGATGTGTTTGTTGCTTTTTTGCTGCAGCAAACACGACAGAACAAGAAACCACAATTATAGCAGTTTTGCTTCTTTCTGGTTATCCCAAATGCCACACTACAACCTCTACAAGTTGCTTGATCTGTACTGGATATTGACTTGTGCAAACAGATTGCTGCCGTGGAGTTAGGCCCACAAGTTATGTGTTCAACCAACCTGTCCCTCAGACTATCAACTAAGGTTGGGGTATTTCTATCTTTCGTGTCACCTAAGCCTAACTGCCCATTTGACCCCTTACCCCACGTGTAGACCCCACCACATGATGTTAAGACAGCAATGTGATAGGATCCTGCACATATTTCTCTGACAAACGTATCTTCGAGCTTCCCTTGCACGATTGTGAGTGATTTATCGTCTGCATGTGGGTTCCCAAGCTGCCCGTGGATTGCGCTTCCCATTGTGTATACCTTTCCTGTGTTCGATAATCCAATGGTTAATGTTCTCCCGCAAGATACTTGGATGAAATCTACCCCCTCCAGCTTTGTGATACATAATGGTATGAGCTTTTTCTCTGGAGCGTCATCATGTCCAAGTTTACCCTTATCTCCATCTCCCCATGTGTACAATTTCCCGGTCCCTGTTGTGGTTTCGACTATGGCAGCAGTGTGCCATGGCCCACATGCAACGAACTTGACACATAAGGACTTCAGAGATTCAACCTCTTTAGGGTGAGGGAGGCTTCTAGTGTTCCCATGACCAAGTGCCCCAAAATTTCCCTCCCCATAGCTAAATAATTTTCCGGTTATGGAAATGATTGCGGTGTGCCATTCCCCACAAGCAACCGATGATATGATCACACTGTCCAGGGAACCAGAAACTCTTTGTGGCATCCAATGGCTTCGCTTTGTGTTCTCTTCGCCTGTGGAAGAGTAATTATCACCCCAAGTGTATACTTCTCCTGAATGCGTTACAGCACACATTTGGTATTCGCCAAATGCAATGGATGTCACATTGATACCGTCAAGGGACTCTACAATTTTTGGATGGGAGACATCCATATCGACTTTATGCCCCAATCTTCCATTCTTTCCTTCACCCCAACAGAAAACCTCCCCTTGTCCCGTCACCAGGGAGGCATGGGTCCTACCCAGGGACAACATTTGTACATCAAGCATCATAGTGGATTCAAGTACTCTAGGTGATGAGGAATCTAACTTTTCTTCCCCGCCCACAAGAAACCCTCCATCCATCCCTTCTCCCCAAACGTAAACATCTCGCAAGATGTGCACAGATCTTGTTGGCTCACGGACTGACCCTCCAAATGCAGATAACATGTCACTTTGTACTTCTGACTGAAGAAAATCCTTTTCACTATGGTTTATTTCATCCACTTCAGAATATGGAGAACTTGGGCTCATCCCTTCCACTGTGTTTTGCGCATTTGTTAGGAGGGTTACGTCAGAGAACATGCTATCTGAAGAACAGGACAACACATCTGAATGACCTCTTCCGGAAAATGATTGCTCAGGACTTCCCGCCAAGCTACGAACCTTCAATAATTTTTTTAGTTAGTGCAGGGACCACAAACATATCTTAGCTCGAATGGCATTAGTAAGTTTCTTATATTCATATTATTAGTGTGCTTATAAGAAGACTAAACCAAAGGGTACTACCAAAAGAGAATTGATTAATGAATCATCAACATGATATGAAGTGCATGCAACAAGTACCTTGTTTGATCTGACTGCCTCCACGGGAAGACTGAGAATATGTCTCCTCCTTATGCAGCTAGCCGGGCTATTAATGCAACTTTGAGCACCTCGTCTGTGTCTTGGTTTTTCCACGCCCAAGAACCGGTGGCTTTGGTGACTCTTCGATATTAGTGCTTTCAGGCCTAGAAACCACGACTCAGCCTGCATTTTATCTTTGCATATCTGTATTTATTCACATCCATATGTATGTTTAAAACATAAAGTTAGTAAATTCAGGAATCCCAGTTGATAAATGAGCTTCATTAAATCAACATAGTGAAGTTTTCCATTCTAAAACTGTATTCCATATGGTAATCCAACTATTCAATTATCACCTGTATTTAAGTGATATGAGATCCTTTTGAAGGTACTCATATAAAAGATCTTGAAGGTTCCATATAAAAGGTTACCATGATAAAAGATAATATATATTGAATAGTTTTTACTTTGAAGGTGTGAGACAAATAAATAGACTCTAAACAAGCTGCACTAACAAATGAGTGTTAAATAAACAACAATAACACAATTGGTCCTCATGCTACATTAAGTTTTGAGGTTACATATAAACTTGATGGGAAGAATTAGCTCGATTCTTATAGATTGACTTAATATTTTATAGTTTGTTAGGGTAATATGAGTACTTCAAACAAAACACATATTTCCGGGTTGAGCCTGCAAATGTAGGGGTTATGGTGAATTTGTGGTCCTAACATGATGTAACAATCCGTACAATTTTAGAATAGAATAATTCATGTCTCAAATAATAGCAAAAGAGTTGTTGGAGCAGAGCAGATTTTACCAGATCAAAGAATTGTTCTCCATTTGCGTACACAAGTGAAATGCACTGGCTTTCTCTATCAGGTTGAAGTTGTTTCTGAAGTATTTTTACAATAAATAAGTGCAGGCTATTAGAAACATGTACTAATAAATAAACTTAGAGCTATTGTTGAGTATTAGAGCTCTTGTAGGTTTGGAGATGCTTACAGATTGTTGGCCATGTATTATATCTGTGACTGAACTAAGCTTCAGATGTTTTTCATTTTCATCCAAGTACCAAACCAAGAATTTCTCATCCTGAAAGTGGAATTACCATATGAAATACAGTTTTAGAATACAGTTTCTCATCCAGAGGAGTTAGTAATTGATGATGTTGTATGTCAACATGAACTAGAGGAATAATATCTTTAAATTTACACACACACACACACTAAAGAGAATGAATGTGGTGGAGATCCAAATAGGAAATCATTTGGAGAGAGAAGAAGTGAAAAATTATTGTCATAATTAATGAACACTACAAAAAATTACGGGATTGACACATATTTATCGATGATTTCATGCCAAATAGCTCGTGCCAAACTGTTTTTGGCGCAGATTTGACATATCCCTGCCAAATCTTTCATGAATTTTTTTAAATCCTTGTCAATCTCGTGTTTTTTGTAGTGAGCGAAGCCTTATTTAAGTAGTCAATGACTAATAACAATCAATGATTAAGTACAAATCTAATAAATGGCTGTAAGTTATAAATAAAATATTAAAAAATGAGAACAAAGGCAATAAATATGAAAAAAAATATTTAGAAAAATATTAGAAACATACACATACAAAATTAATTAAGAAACATAACAAAGTTAAAAAAATTAATTGTTCTAATTTTAAAATATACAATAGAGAGTACTATGTTACATTCAAATATGATGAACCTGGCTACACATATCGTATAGAGTGCAATGAACTTGGCCAAAACTGACGCATGTGATATAATGCATTAATGTAATTATCAATATCTATCCATTAGTAAATAAGTTTTTTTTTTTTAAAATTGAATTGTTACTAGATTCACACAAATGAACATAAGATTGTACTAAATGCTACTTAAAAATCATAAAAGTAACATACATGAATTAGACATTAATTGTACGATGATAACCAACAATCTTTATAACAATACATTTTAAAAAGTTATAAACATGTGAATGCTACAATACTCCACTAATAAGTGAGAGTATATAGAATATCTACAATGCACATGATTGGTCCATATTATTATTCACCATTTATTTATGTTCAATGTACCTAATTGTTTATCATTTCTAATTGATCCATCTTGATTAGACAAGATAAATTTTATACTCCCTTTGCCCCTTATGAACTTAATTAGACAAGATAAATTTTATACTCCCTTTGTTCCTTATAACTTTGACAACTTTCTTTTTTTATTGTCCAGAAAACTTTGTCACTTTCCCTTTTAATCGAAGAATTTGTGATTCCTATTAGTTTTCTCTCCTCAGCACATATATCATTCACACACTTTGTACTTTATTCATTCTCGCACCGGTCAAACTTGACAAAGTTTTGTTGGACGGAGAACGTATTAATTAGTGCATCTCTAACAATAATTATCATGCATGTACTATAATATAGTTATATCTCATGTAATAATTATACAACAAGTATGTATGTCAGTATGTGCACATTACTCATAAAATGAACTATTTTCAAAACTAAATTAATTTTATCTATTATCCGTGCAACACACGGATCAATTAACTAGTTATTAGTAATGGACAATAAATACTCGATCGGTTAAAAAAACACATTTTCACTTGAAATGATTATGTTTAAGAAAACATAGGCATTTAGCATATTTTGAGAAGCTTGAAAAGAAATATTTTTATACCTGGGACAACCTGAAAGGACAAAATTTAGGCTTCCCTATTCGGCTATACTTCAAAAGATGAGCACCCTTCTTTAACCCAACAATTGCCTGATCAAATATTTCAACAGAACATTATTCATTTATCTCCCTTAAGGTTTGATGTATTATAAGATACATCCATGTATTATTAAAAATATGCTCTTACTCCCTATTCTTTTGTGTGGGTTATTTTTTTGATCATTTTAGTGTGGGTTATTAAATAACTTACTGAGTATAACTTATGTGTGTAGAGAGAATTATAAATTTAATCTCGTAATTTTTAATTGTATCCTCTTTATAATTTTACTCAATTTTAGATCTTGCTTGACAACTAATGAATGTATCACCGAAAATCGAATCGAATAAAACAAAAATTGATCAAACTCTATGTGGTTAGATTTATGATTTTAGATTTGAAAATTGTCTGAATTTTAAAAAAGTTGACAAAACATATTAAAACCGACCAAATTTAAAACAAACCAACTGAGATTAAACGAAACTGACTCAAATGGTAATTTATATCCTGGGATCGGCACACCATGAGGATGGTGCGCCCATCCCAAACCGACGCAACATCCATTATTTTTTATTTGTTTTATTGTTAAAAATTGTAATAACTTTTTTATTTGATATCCGATTTTTATAAATTTTATATCAATTTTTATTTTTATTTTTCATGATCTATCAAATGAGACCAATATTGCTTATGTAATTTTAACAAATTATTTTGAAGTTACATTTGATAATATATCATGAAGTTACATCTTATTGTACGCGAGTTACATCTTAATATACACGAGTTACATCTTAATGTATGTGAGTTACACCATGAAATAAACCCTGCTACATCTTTCATTTTTATCATTTGAAAAATAGTGTATGAATATGAAATACAATATACTTATTTTATGTGGATTAATAAAATTTTGTATTAAATTGGCAAAGAAAAAAATTAATTCAGTTATAATTGAATTAGTTCAAGATAAAGATAAGTAAAAATTCACAAATAATTAGATATAACTCACACATAATTACATGTAACTCGCGCATAAAAGTATGTTACTCGGGTATAACAAGATGTAACTCACACATAACAAGATGTAACTCACACATAATTACATGTAACTCTCGCATAAAAGTGTATAAAAGTGATAAAAAAGATATATTATAGAAAAAGTGTATGCATATAAAAATATACGGAGTATTACAAAAAAATGTATGAATGTAAAAAATCAAAATTACATAGGCAATATTGGTCTCATTTGAAAGATCATGAAAAATAAAAAAATTTGATTTTAATTTTATAAAAATCAGATCAAAAATAAAAAAATTATTAACAATTTTAAGAAAAGGAGAAATAAAAAATAACAAAGAATGCATAGTGCTCACCATGCACCGGTTCCACGGTATAAGCACTGGTTGCACGGTATACGCACTGGGACTCAAATAGTACAATCACGGTGCTTATACCGTGGGTACCGGTGCATGGTGAGCACCATGCACCCTTTGTTATTTTTTATTTCTCATTTTCTTAAAATTGTTAATAATTTTTTTATTTTTGATCCGATTTTTATAAAATTTATACCAATTTTTTTTTTATTTTTCATGATCTTTCAAATGAGACCAATATTGCCTATGCAATTTTAATTTTTTACATTCATACATTTTTTTGTAATATGTTTTTATATGCATATACTTTTTCTATAATATATTTTTTATCACTTTTATATGTTTTAGAGGTTTTTAAGATATTGAGTTTGTTTATTTTGCTTCTAGCTTGGAGTTACATTTGATAATATACGGAGTTACATCATCTTATACTCCAGTTACACGTTATTATGTGTGAGATACATCTTGTTATGTGTGAGTTACATCTTGCTATACACGAGTTACATAATTTTATGCGAGAGTTACATGTAATCATGTGTGAGTTACACCTTGTTATGTGTGAGTTACATCTTGTTATACCCGAGTTACATACTTTTATGCGCGAGTTACATGTAATTATGTGTGAGTTATATATAATTATTTGTGATTTTTTACTTATCTTTATCTTGAACTAATTCAATTATAACTGAATTATATTTTTTTCTTTGCCAACTTAATACAAAATTTTATTAATCCACATAAAATAAGTATATTGTATTTCATATTCATACACTATTTTTCAAATGATAAAAATGAAAGATGTAGTAGGGGTTTATTTCATGTTGTAACTCACATACATTAAGATGTAACTCGTGTATATTAAGATGTAACTCGCGTACAATAAGATATAACTCGCGCAGAAGAAGATGTAACTTCATGATATATTATCAAATGTAATTTCAAAATAATTTGTTAAAATTACATAAGCAATATTGGTCTCATTTGATAGATCATGAAAAATAAAAAAAATTGATATAAAATTTATAAAAATCGGATATCAAATAAAAAAATTATTACAATTCTTAACAATAAAAAAAAATAGTGAATGTTGCGTCATTTTGGGATCAGACGTACCATCCTCATGATGCGCCGAGGGTATAAATTGCGGTACAATTAGGTTGTTGGTTTCACAATTTTTAAAATTGTCCACAAAAAGTCGGACCGGCCAACATCTCTATTTTTCACTTTATAGACTGTTTATTTCCACGGGAAAGGAAATCTTTGCACATATAATGATAACGTACTTGTGTAAATTAATACTGCGTTTGTGATAACAAATGGAAATGCTTACACGTAAATCATGAAATTAAAGTAATCACTTCACATATCAATTTAAAATAGATAGAGTAGTATCCTAAAATTCATTTCAGCAACATACGTTTTAGGTATAAAATTATATCACTGAAAATTTAACTCAACTATAATTCTAGAGAATGCATGTTTAAACTTTTAGAGTATTTTTATTATACCTAAAATACATGTTAGTGGATGAGTTTTAGGAGATTACTGAATATAGTATGTAATCTTTTCCATGTGAAAATAAAGAATCTTCCAAGTGAAATGTAGAGAAAAATGTCAGATCGACCCTCATACTTTGTAATTTTCGTCAAAACCGACTTTTAGCAGGTAATCCGCCGGTTATCAGGTTACCTGCTGACGTGGCACACACGTGGCCTGTCACATCACACATGTGGTGGCCACATCACCTTTCCTTTTCTTTTTCCCTTTCTTTTTTCCATTTCTTTCTTTTCTTTCCCTCCATCTTTCTTCTCCATCGCAGCAGAGGCCGCAGGGCAGGTGAAGAGTAGCCGCCGAAATTGAAGGTGCTAGGAAAACTAAACTAAACATATGAGGAGGTGCGCCTCTTCAAGAAAACCCCATTTACGTATTATGTATTTTCCGACCGAGCCCTGAAGTCGCCGGAAAAAATGTCGAAGGAGTCCAAAAATGAGAAAAAAGAGCAGATTCCGGCCAGCTACAAACCAGCCCCCAAAACTCGTTCTCACCTGCTCAAAATTGATATGGAGAGTCGTCCGTAGCTAGATAACTCTAATTTAGTCTCAAAAATAAAAAACAATCGCCTACATTTGAGTTATGAGCAAAAATCGATCTCCGAAATAACAGTGTTTCCGGCGATATTTGCCGGTCATAGGCGGAGTAACAAAGAAAGGGGGTCGGGAAAGAGACAACACCAAATAAAGAAAGACAATCGCAGCAAGATTCCATGGATGAATTGTCATTTGCAAAGAAAATTATGTTTTGGAGGTTTGGAGGAGGAAGAACGATGGGGGAAGGGGGGATTTGGGAAAGGAAAGGAAAGTAAAGGAAAAGAGAAAAAGGAAAGGGAAAAAGTGATGTGGTCGCCACGTGTGTTGTGTCACGTCATGTGTGTGCCACGTCAGCAGGTAACCTGTTGACTGGCAGGTTAACTGCTAAAAGTCGATTTTGACGAAAATTACAAAGTAGGAGGACCTAATTGATGAAAATCATAGTATGAGGGTTGAATTGACTTTCCGTACAAACCAGGAGGGCCAATCTGACACTTTTCTCTGAAATGTATAATTCAATAAGTTTTCTACAATCTCATACTCGGTATATACTTTCATACTATTAAAAAGTAATTAAAAGTGATTTGTTCTTTTAAGTCCATAATTTTCGATTGTGTTTGTTATTTCATATATTGTCCCGTGACAATAAAATTTGTCCATATTAAGGATCATTCCACTGAAAAATATACGGTCTAGCAAAAAAACATAACGGAAAAGATGTCATAGGAGGCAATTTTTTCTTCAGAAAGTGTACTTTATGATGGAAAGATCCTTGATGTAGAGAAACTTGTTGGCTATATGACGAGATATATATGCAAGTGAGTAAAGTTATAGACTTATAGGACTAATTAAAATCAATACAATCAAAAGTTGCACGACTAAATATATAATATTGTCTAAATGTAAACTAACAGTTATTAACCATTATTAAAGGATATATAGAGAAGGGGTAAGAACATATTTTTAATAGCGGATGTGAATGTGATAATAAACAGGGTCGTCTTTTAGGAGGTGCAATAGGTGCTTGACATCGGGGTCCACTCTCGTAGGGGGCCTCCAAAATTAAGTATGTAATGTTAGTTATAAGTTGATTTTCTAGATGTTATGTAATATTCAAGATTTCAAAAGATATATACTTTTAGATTGTCAAATTTGTGTACTTTAAGCATCATAAAATTTATATTTCACTCAACTATCTAGTCTATTTGTATTACATTGTTTAATTTTGTATTTTTTTCCTCGTTTTAGGGGCCTCAATTCATCATTTGGGACCAAGATCTCCAAATTCATTAGACGGCCCTATAATAAATCAAATGTGGAGGTAGATGAATGATATTTACCCTTCTCTTTAACACATGACTTAAATATCTCAACTTGAAAAAGTAACAAATTGATCAAACCGTTTAAATGTATACAAAAAATAATGCCACCTGCATAGTTTTATATACTCCGTATATAAGAAATTCATCATCTAATACTCTGTATGCGACAACTAAGCTAAGGCAATGGAAATTATAATAATTATTGCTTGGTTTTGAAATCTAGCCACCCTTCAAAGGATCACGTCATCATTGATCAGTTTAGTTGATCATGATTACCGGTATTTATTTGGCTATGAATTTAACTAAAAAACGCCAACTAACCACTAACAAACGTGACAGTTTTTGGCTAAAATCTTAAGTGTGTTTGGGAGTTGGTTTTGGAGGGGAAGGGAAGGCTGATGAGGATTTATGACCCCCTTCTCATGTTTGAGAGTTTATAAAACTGGAGGGAATGATTTTGGAGAGCTTTCGTGACCTTCCAAACCCCTCTAAATGCTCAATTTTTGAGTTCCCCCAATTTGAAAGGTTTTGAAGGATAATTAACACATTCATAATTTAAGCTCAATTAAAAATAAATATCAGTTCAATTATTTGAATTCGTCACATCTCAGTGACTTTAATTATAATTAATTCAAAAGCTCTTTTCTTTCAAATTTATTACTCCCAAATACAAAGAAGTGCTTTTTCATCATCTTCTCATTTTCCCCTCCAACAACATACCTCCAAAACTTTCCCCACACCTTCCCTGCAAACTCCCAAACATACCCTTAGGGTCTCCGCTCCATCCGTAGACAAAAGTGATTTATTGTGCTACTCATTACTTCATCTTTGTGGGGAATAAAGTGTAAAGGGAAATATACACACTACAAAAAACTTAAGGAATTGTCACGGATTTGACAAGAATTGATCCATGATTTTGTACCAAATAGTTTAGGGCTAATATGTTGTTTGGTATAAGGGCATCCCCATCCATATATTATTTTTGGGATCATTTTGATGATGTGGTCATGCGGGGGATTTTTTTTGGATCATGGATGAGGATTGAGGAGTTGAGATTATTTGATAAAATAATTCGGTATCAAATTCTAAAGTTGAATTATTTTGAGATTATTCACAACTTTTAGGCTCCTTCCCATTTTCTAGGCAACTAATAATAAGTAGTTTTGTAAAAAAATCTAGGTAAGTTAAGATGATGGGTGAAGAGAAATTGATAAGTTTGAAGATTATTTGTGATTATCTTATGTGGAAGTGACATGATAATAAAAAGCCATAAAAAACTTTATAATGAATGGAGATGTTGTAAGAAAGTAATTTTAATAAAAGTGGTGAAATATAGAGGTAGGTATGTGGATGAAAAGTAATGTGAAGATTGAAAAGACCGCCGTGGGGCATTGGCTTAGCTTTGTTGATGTATGGCGATGATGATGAGGAAATTAAATAGAAGAAAAGAAAGGAGCTAACCAACCTGTTCAATTGCCCTTTCAGATGCCGCCACGGTGGACAAGAGCTCTTCACCCATTTTTAATTTGCAGAGCTAAGCTAAGCTTTGGTTTCAATTCCCAGCAGCAGGGAACCGCGCCCGCGCGCGTACATTATAACATTTATAAGTTAAGCTAGCTTTGGCCTTTGGGATATATCGATACCAATTACTCCGTATATATATTAACGAGCACTTTGCTTTGCTTTGCTTTGCTTTGGTGGCCGGATCGGAGAGACAGCTAGAATTATTTGTGAAGGGCGGGCGGGCGGGCGGGCAGTTGGGCGCCGTTTGTTTGATTCACCTGACTCATAACGCTTCAACCTTTTCTCTTTAGCAGCTTATCCCGGCCCCACGTACGTACGTACGCCTGCCTGCCTTTTATCTGATCTTCTTTGCACTAGCTTCCTACTATACATGCATACATACATATGATGCCAGGCCAGCAGCTGCTAGCCACGGAACGAAGTCACCATTGATGGATCCATCGTTGGATCATCTATTGTTACATATCCGGCCGTCAACTAGCTACCTAAATGGAACTAGTGCATATATACAAAGCCCACTTCTTTTCAAATAATTTATTTAATTCACTTCTAGGTTTAATTTTAAGCTTAAATTTTCTAAACATAATCTAATTTTCACGGACAATATTCTCACGAAAAGTTCTTCCGAGAACCACTTCAAACGAAGGATTCCGTACGGCGGTCCCGATCAGGAACTCTTGATATGAAGTGCATATCAAGAGTTTAAGTTTCTTTTTTAAGGTAGAGACATGGATTTTTTTAAGGATATGAGATGGATCAATGAAAACTATGTGGTATGAGGTGGAGTAGAGGTCGAGATCGTGTATTTTGTCTTTCACTTTATTCAAGGTAGAGGAAAAGAAAACGATAAAAAAGAAAATCAAAGAAAGAAATACACAAACACACACCTAAAAAGCATTACTTGTCCCCCCACAACAGTGCCAAATTTGACAACATTTAGCTCGCTCGTGCTACAAATTAAATTCACTACTAAGCACTAATATCGTCGTATAACGTAGTAGACTTCGTATCCATATGCAAATGTACTTTTCACATGTGTGTAAACGGAAGGGGGGGATTGATCTGAATAGCAGTGTTGAGATTTACTCCTCCAACTCCAAGGACCCAACACATTCCTTTGGGCTTCGATGGACGTTTTAGTGTGTATGTGAGTGAAAGGCACAAGTACTTTAGTAAATAAGAGGGAGACAATAAGTGGACCGAGATCTTATAAAAAAATAACGAACGATTACAGCTAGCACACTCTACTGAAAGTCGAAGGCCGAACGTCTAATCAGCCCTTAATACAAGAGATTGGAGATAATGCTAGTGAATACAAGTTGACAACCACCAACAATGAAATAAATGCTACTCTGTACTATTTATACTACCACGGGGTAGATGATAGTGTTGATGTGGAGGATCATGAGTGGTTAGCCTTCCAACCACCAAATCTTGCATATCTGCTGCATTTAATGCGTTTCCCACCAATATTTTTGCTCTCCCGCCAATTATGTTGGATGTTTCAGCCAAGGCTTTCATGATCTCTGACCCAGGTAAGCGCAAGGCTAAGGCGCCGCTCGACGTCTGGCGAGCGTCCCCGCTGAGGCCCCTATTGATTACTTGGCCTAAACGGGACGACGTATAGGTGATGCGCGGTATGCGCCACCCGGGCCGCGATGAGCGGCGCATGAGCCTTTGTTACTCTTGACTCATTTTCCTCATCATGGGGTATTTGGCTGATCCCGTATCGGACCAATTACCCCAACAAGTAGCATTCGGTCGATTTAATGAAATCAATTAAAAACGATAACTTTTAACCCCAGGTGAGTTCCTTCTGGGATAAAAAAAAGTAACCCCAGGTGAGTATTCTAGCTCTACTGTCACAACGAGAATCTGAGATCCAACTATCCTATCTAATTTATCCATTGGTCATCAAATGAAATCAATTAAGATTGATAACCTCAATACAAACAGTTTTTTGATTCAACCAATATATATATATATATATATATATATATATATATATATATATATATATATATATATATATAATTACTCCCTCTTACATTATTAATAATTAGATGCATGCATTAGTAATCTAAGGATACTACTTATGAAAGGACCAAGTGAATAACAAACGTATTTATTGATCGTTCTACTAATAATCAATATAAAAACATCAGCTAATTGATCACTAGCGACGCACAAATATCTATATAAAATATGATTAGGGAATTATTTAATATTTAAGAGAGAGGGGGTTTAAAGAAATAACTCACAACTTACAAATCTCAAGCTTCAATATATATATCAAAACCAAGCTCAAAAGACTACCTAAATTACAAGAATATAATCTATATGAAAGAGGGGATTGATGTGTGTATCACATGAGAAGAAAATTAAATGAGTATTTTTATAGGAGAAATGAGGTAGATGAGTCGTACACCCGACCAGATATATAGGATACTTGATCAAATATCCTTGGTTGTAGATATGAAAGTGCTGAAATCTAGTCATACTCGATCGATTATGTCAATAGATCGATCGGATATAACACTAAATTTGATTTCCTCATATTCTCTTGCTTTATTTTATCTCATGTGATATTTGAGTCAATCATACACGATCAAGTATTGGGTATACCTGACCGGGTGTGTGACCAAATCGGATTTTTCTTCTTTCTTTGTCTCCTGACCCATAATACTTCCTGATGGATTATAGGTATCCAAGTATATAAAATGGGAGAGATTGAGCTTAATAATGTGGAGAAGAAGATGAATAGTGGTATTGAGACTTATGTTCTAGGGTTACAAATGGCTCCAAGAGGAGTATAAATAGGGAAATAATGGGCCGGGCCGCTAATATGGGCCGGGCCGCTAATATGGGCCCGGTAGCCCAACTACATAAAAGACTAATCTAGTACATAGTTACATACAAATGACATATAAGCAGTACAATAATACAAATGATATCCGTAAGATGTGTGTGGGCCGCTGTCCGGGCCCAATAGTCGTGAGACCCGGGGGTCCGAGTCTATATACTCTATCAGGAGTCCCCCACTCTCTGAGTCGAGAGTATTCGAGGTGAAAGAGAGTAGAACTGTGTGTTGATCTGTCGTCGTGTGGTGAGTAAACTTCATGAACAAAAATTTGAATTTCTGCTTCATTGGTTAACGGAGACGCTAAGTCCCCCGCTCTTCCAGTCCCCCACTCCTTGAGGCGAGTGCAATGAGGTGAAGAGGAGTAGAGTAATGTGTGTCGGATGATGTCTTCAACAGGGGGCCGAGGGTTGACACCTTTTGATCCACGATGGGGAGATGCCTCGTTAAAAACCTCATTAGGAAAAACCCTGTGGGAAAAAATCCTAATGAGGGAAAAAGAGTACACCGGATGCCCCCAAAATGAAACAAAAGGTGCGAGCCCTTCAGCCTGGAGATGGAGCTACAGCGGTGCCCGTCTGCTGGATGGTCGAGGCCGTTCTCTAGATATGGGTAGCTCATCATGATCAGTAGTCCTAGTCATCAAATAAAGATGACTAAGGGATGGGTCGAGCGACCGTCCACAATATGATGTCTGGTTCATCAAATAAAGATGACCAGAACGTAAGGCCGAGAGGCCTGTACGAGAGCTCCACGTTGTCAAATAAAGACGACGGGGCGATGGTGCGGTCGAGGGGCCTGCATAAGAGCTCCACGTCGTCAAATAAAGACGACGGGGCGATGGTGCGGCCGAGGGGCCTGCATAAGAGCTCCACGTCGTCAAATAAAGACCACGGGGCGATGGTGCGGCCGAGGGGCCTGCATAAGAGCTCCACGTCGTCAAATAAAGACGACGGGGCGATGGTGCGGCCGAGGGGCCTGCATAAGAGCTCCACGTCGTCAAATAAAGACGACGGGGCGATGGTGCAGCCGAGGGGCCTGCATAAGAGCTCCACGTCGTCAAATAAAGACGACGGGGCGATGGTGCGGCCGAGGGGCCTGCATAAGAGCTCCACGTCGTCAAATAAAGACGACGAGGCGATGGTGCGGCCGAGGGGTCTGCATAAGAGCTCCACGTCGTCAAATAAAGACGACGGGGCGATGGTGCGGCCGAGAGGCCTGCATAAGAGCTCCACGTCGTCAAATAAAGACGACAGGGCGATGGTGCGGCCGAGGGGCCTGCATAAGAGCTCCACGTCGTCAAATAAAGGCGACGAGGCGATGGTGTGGCCGAGGGGCCTGCATAAGAGCTCCACGTCGTCAAATAAAGACGACGGGGCGATGGATGGCCGAGAGGCCTACATGAGAGTCAGTGGAGGAGCTAGGGGGGGGGGGGGGGGCAAGGGGGGGCAAGCGCCCCCGCTCCGACTAATTTTTTTTACTAGTATTACTTATAATATGTTTCTTGCCCCGGTTTCTTTTTTAATTTTAAAAACAATAAGTACAACTTAAGGTTATTTTAAGATGAAGTGTTCAAATAAATAAAAAAGTATTTTCAGAAAAAGTAAAAAAATGAAATATAGAATAAAAGGGGATTAATGAGTCAATGAGACAAATGAGCATCTAGTCTAAGGCTAAGTAAAAAAAACGGGCATAAGTAGAAAAATGAAAAAAAAAACAATTCTAAAGCCCAAGCCACCTAGACAATCCTAAAGCCTAAGCCCAAAAATGAAAAAAATAACAATTCAAAACGTAATCACTAAAGTCTAAAGCCATTAAGTGGGTTAAACATTTAAAGCTTCATTAACAAAAGACCTAGGCAGTCAGCAGTCCCTTCCCACTCCGCCAAAAAAATGAATCGAGCAGTTGAGAACGCAGGCATGCAGCGAACGTGAGAACTGAGAAGCAACATCGCCCGCTCCCTCTCCGGCTTTACTCCCCAACAGAAATCTACCTTCCTTCTCCAGTTAGTTCTCACTTCTCCCCATTTGTTCTCAGATTCTGCAATTTTCAAGTAAGTTTCTCATCTGCCAATTTATGCCCATATTAATTATTTGCTCTCATCCCTAACGAAAAGTCAGAAATTATTTGTGTGAATCCTCAAATCTCAGTTCTAGATGCAATTTAATGCTATTTGTATAAGGAACATTTTTAATTCATACTTATTTTTGTTATATTTAGGAGTATGAGTTTGGATAAATTTGTAATTAAGACTAAGAGGTCTTTGATTGGAGGTGTTAGTTCTTCAATTGTTCCTAATCAGT